AGCTAGGGGAATAAGTACTAAATGGTCAGTAGAATTTCATGCTAATACGCCAGTACTCACCCAATTTCATTTCAATTGAGGATCTAGTTAGTTCCTAAGGCGAGCGACTCGACTTACTCTTAGTCGTATTGGATCTAGCATATGAAGATGGAAAGCGTAGACGTATGACGCCGCCTTCGGCCTACGAGGTGAGATAAAGGTATAGTCTAACCTCTAGTGAAAACTAGAGATGATTGGAAAGGCCAATTAAACTCGGAGATAGCTGGTTTTCTGCAAAATCGATTGAGGTAGAACGTGTGATCTTCATTGCAAGAGGTAGAGCACTCGATGGGCTAGGGTGGCCCAAAGCTTGACCAACCCCAAGGAAACTCCGAATACTTGCAGCTGAGCATCGCGCAGACAGACTTTGGGTGCTAAGATCCAAAGTCAAAAGGGAAACAGCCCAGATCGTACGCTAAGGTCCTAAAGCAATCACTTAGTGGGAAAGGAAGTGATCGAGCAATTACAACCAGGAGGTGGGCTTGGAAGCAGCCATCCTTTGAAGAAAGCGTAATAGCTCACTGGTCTAGCTTCATCGCGCCGAAAATGGATCGGGGCTCAAGTGGTTTACCGAAGCGACGAGACCAAACAAAATCAATGTTGCAAACGCCTCTCCAGGCACGCAGCAAGACATGTTGGACACGAAGTGCTATTGTTTGCCATTGATCTTCAGGGTCAGTAGCGGAACGTTCTGTAAGTTGAAGAAGGCTGTTTGTGAAAACARCTGGAGATATMAGAAGTGAGAWTGCTGACATGAGTAACAAAAAATCAGGTGAAAAACATGATCGCCGAAAGTTCAAGGGTTTCTGCGTTCAGTCAATCTACGCAGAGTGAATCGGTCCCTAAGGAAACCCCGAAAGGCGGCGTCGATGGGTACTAGAAAGTGACGAAATTTGATTTAAGCTAGCGCTACTGAACAAAACAAAATTGGATGATTGGACAGGGCCTCAATTTCCGGGAAAAAACTTCTAGAATCAATTGTAGATTGAACCGTACCCCAAACCGACACAGGTGAACAAGTAGAGTATACTAAGGCGCTTGAGATAACCATGTTGAAGGAACTCGGCAAAATGACTCCGTAACTTCGGGAGAAGGAGTGTTTTTCTTTGCAAAAACAGACAAAAGTGGCACATAACAGGGGGTAGCGACTGTTTATTAAAAACACAGGACTCTGCCAAGTGGTAACACGATGTATAGAGTCTGACACCTGCCCGGTGCTGGAAGGTGAAAAGGAGAAGTGACATAAGCTTCGAATGTAAGCCCCAGTAAACGGCGGCAGTAACTCTAACTGTCAACTTTAGGGCAGTTATAAAATCTGGCTGTATGCTGGAACACTCGCAATTCTTACATACACTACCGAGAAATACGGCAGAAAGGCCACTCGAGTGGATAGAGTAAATCAGCAGGCTCGCTAGACGAAGCGTCTCTATCGATCCTCAGAGGCCATACGCCAGACGCACGGAAACTACCAATTGTGATGATATGGTCCAATCCTCATGGTGACATGAGGCGCAAGAGCGCGCATTGTTTTCGCCTAAGGTAATTTCGTTGCCTTACTTTCTAGGTGACTAGAAATAGGAAACTCCACTGTATGCGGGAAACTCCTCGAATAGATAGAATGAATTTAATTTCTAGATAGTAAGTAATAGTAATTAAATTCAATTAGAGGGCAATCCGCAGAAAACCAACATATGTCTGTGTAGGATCCTCAGAGACTTTACGTGGAACTACTACTAATTAATAATATAAAAGAAAGACCAATGACTTATGAGTATACGTACGATAGATACCTTTGTTTGTATGTAGTGTCGTATTRTTAKAGTGAACCCGGGCAAGAGCCGTGGCCTTCGGCCTACACAGAGGGGCATATGAAACAAACTCAATTTGTAGTAGAAGATCAAGTCCGGTCTGCCTTGAAAAAGGTAGCAAGTAGCTAAAAGCAAAACCAAATTTAGCGAATAACATGAACAAGCGAAATTCCTCGACAAAGGGGTATTTTCTTCAGCATCAAAGACAAAATCTGGCTATATGCTGGAACCTCCGACCGAGTGATGCAAGCAAAATAATGATAATGAATGCGTCAGTGCGGACAATCAGCAGGGAAGGCATGTGTTGATACATGCGTTGCGCTCCTCAACGACTACATGCCAGACATCCCTGCTTGGGATGATGATATAGTCTGAACTTCGTGGCGACACGAAGGAGGAAGGCCTCGGTTGAAATGATGTTCGAAGTTTATTTCAATTAACACAATTGTGTCGCATAAGTAGCGACCTGCACGAATGGTGTAACGACTGCCCCGCTGTCTCCAACATGGGCTCAGTGAAATTGAATTCTCCGTGAAGATGCGGAGTACCAGCGGCTAAACGGTAAGACCCCGTGCACCTTTACTATAGCTTTGCATTGACAACCTTGATTGAATGTGTAGGATAGGTGGGAGGTGGTCATCAGTGACTACCAAGCTTGAAATACCACCTAGTTTTTACTCTTATATGTGGTATTCATTCTTGTTTGACTCTTGGATTGAGATCTACAGACTCTCGAAAAACTAGTTTCTTCTTTTTTACCACATTGCCTACTTTATTACCTTTAATTCTTTTTTGTACTTCATATCAAACTGAGGACGAAGCTATGACTTTGTTCATGGGATATCTACTCTTGTAATTCATGTGAGCTACTGAAGAATATGCAATGATCGATTTGTCTTAATGTAGTTAAGGAAGTATATATTATAGCAATCACATTAAGAGTATAATGAAAGGAGTGAAATAAAGAGTAGCTTCTGGAAACATTGGTATTGAAAATCTTAAAAAACCAGGGTTCAGCCTCCTGATGAGTCGGTGAAACTCCGACGAAACAGTTTGTCACAGCCCCTCGTTTGTTGTCCTCTTCTCCCTCTCTGCCTACGGTTTACCGGGCAGTTCTATTTGATGATATATACTACGACTACGCTAGCTTCCTGCTACGGTTTTCTCCGGTCTGGTCGAGCGGCAGTGGTTGGGGCCGTCACTACGCGGCCATGTTGTGCCTCTAGTGCCAGCGGCGTGTCTGGAGTGTATTTTTTGGCTGTGACAGACCTTTCTTTGTTTCGTAGCTGTTTTGCTGGCTTGTGATGGGGTGTGAACCTACAGTCTGTAGAGTTATCCATCTGGTGTGGGTGAGTGATAGTCTACTTTGATTTTGGTTAAGGTGGATTATCACTTACAGTGTAATCAGTGAGGGGATTCTACAGACTGTTGAGGGTTCAGCCTCCTGATGAGTCGGTGAAACTCTTCGTTTGTCACAGCCCTTCGTTTGTTGTCCTCTTCTCCCTCTCTGCCTACGGTTTACCGGACAGTTCTATTTGACAAAGTTGCAGGCGTTTGGGACGGGCCGAACGCCCGAACTCGAACGCCCGAACGTCCGGGCCCCCCTGCGGAGTTCGGTTAAGGTTGCCGGCGTTTGGGTTGGCGATTTTTGAGTTTTTCTGTTATTTTGCAGTTTGTTATTTTCGAGCTTAGCCACACCTTTGTGTCTGCTGCGGGTCGTTTACTACGACAAACAATGGGAATCCTGATGGGTAAATCACCGAGTCCGGCCATTGGCTGCTTACTGTGTGCCTATAACGAGTCGTGCTTTTTAGATAGTTTGGGAATGGAACACCGTTTGGTCCATGGCGTAAGGATGGCTGACGATGTTTCCCTTATTTGTAAAGTACAAGCAAGGTGATGGTTTTGCAAAAAAAAGAGGTGAAGAGATTATCAAACTATTCGAAAGATGTTATGATGACAACTTGGTCCTCGAGCAAACTGGTTGCGATAAAGGATGGGATAATCTAGGTTGTGTCCTACGTTTGAGAGAGGGATCGAAAGGTGTCCACTGTTTTCCCATGATGAAGAATCAGCGATGTGGACTGAACGGATTATTAATGTTTCAGAGCTTACATGATTAAGTATCCTACTCAGGGAAGCAGCAAAAGATGGCGGTTGTCGGATCTTTCTTGCACCGAGCAAAGGTGTACTCCACGCTACCAAGTGCGGAAATACCCTTGCTTTTAGCACTTAAAAGTGAGCTGTGGCCTCGGGGGTACCCTGATGAGATTTTCGACACATGCTTGGTCTCCTTTTCAAGAAAGTACGGGGGGTTGTGGCCCGATTCGGTCAGACTGCTCACAAACTGGGGGGTTGGACCACGGAAGATAACTCAAAGGGGTGTCTAGGCAAGTTAAGAATGACTAGTTGTCCAAAGCAGTGGCAGATTTTTCTATTTTTTTGGCCTTTAAAATCTTTTTACGGCAGGACCTGGTTAGGGATTTGCAGAGTATACGGTCACTAAGGGAGTTGTATGTTTCTACACTAGTATTGCCCTTAGTTTAAGCGACGAAACACGTTGTTTACACTTGGTTCTGTCGAGTCTTACATTTTTTGCACGTTCTGGACTAGGTGTTTTTGGCTAGGTGCACTTCGTATTGACGGTTGTCGGTTGCGGGTGAACGTAAGACTTGGCTCACTTTTTTTTAGCAACGGGAAGCACGTGGCGGCTTGATGAAGTAGAGGATACTTGAGCGCGTTACTTTTTTGCATCCACTTGTTTTTTAGTTTTTTCAGTTTTTTTATTCGGTTCCTTCTTTTTTATGTACTAGTCTTTCTTAGTATCTTAGGCTTTCCGAGAAGATAAATAGTTTGCTCAGGTATTATAGCGACAAGGTTCCTGATGATCCTGGTTTGGCGGCCAGGTGAAACCGGTAGGGCCCATCGCCAGGCGAGCTAATGTTCGTCACTGTTCTTCATTGTCATATCTTTCAATCCAGTCGTATTCGTTTTTTTTTTAGACTTACTATGTCTTGACTCTGTCTTTTCCCTCTACCACCTTCTCGGGTTGGCTTTCTCCTTGTCGGACGTATCATCGTCGCTGTGTTGTATGTTTGTTACTCAATTCTTTCGTCCATTGGATGATTGATACGTTCACTTACAAAGTAATCGTCGCAGAGGTTGTACTACAGATTGGTGGCTTTGGTGCATCATGGCGAATAACTACAATAACAATGGCAATGCTCTGTTCAACAGGAATTGCTACAATTGTGGCCAACCAGGCCACATCTCGAGATTTTGTGCACTTCCGGACAAGAGACTCAATGGACCAGGTGCTACGAGCTCGGCGATTGTTCCTTACAATCACACGGCTAATTCTGGTGGTTCATATGGTGGTCAGTATGCTGCGCTGAGTTTTCTTCGTCAACGAGTTGCAGAATTAGAAGACACAGTTCAGAAGATCAAGACTAAGTACGAGGCAGACGAAGCTAAGGAGAAAGCAGAACTAGAAGAAGAAGCAAAAAAGAAACGCGAGAAAAAAGAGGAAGAGAGACGAGAACGGGAGAAAAAGGATCGAGAAACCTTTCACGAAACAATTATCAAGGAACTGTCGACGAAGCTAGATGCGGTGGTGGGTGCTATCAAAAAGAAGAGTGACGAGAGTGAGGTAGTCAAGTTGAAAGCGGAGATCGAGCGTTTGAAGTGTGCACAGTCGATCGTCGGTCCATCTACTACCATCGAGAAGCTGTCAACCGAAGCAGAAATCTTCGAGAAATTTAGACGTGAACAGATCGCGATGAAGGCAGACTCCGATCGAAGGTTTGCCATACTTGAGGAGGAGATTGCCAAAGCCAATAGGCTCCGAGATGAAGCGGTAGCCGACGCTGAGGCATGAAAAAATGAGGCGTTGCGACCAGGTAACAAACGAGGTAATCTCGTCATCGGGATTCCGGTGACTGCGCGAACTCGACCGCGCCTTGTATCGACTCCGGTCAGCACTGCTACGAAGCGGAAAGTGGATGCGCACCTTAAAAGCGTTGTCAAATCCATGTTTGTTTCATTTTTTTAGAGTTGGCTGTCAGGGGGGTCAAGGGGGGTATAAATTATTTTTAAAGGAGCTAAAAGAGGTAAAGGAGGGGTCATTTAGTATSWTTTTGTTATTTTCTTTTTTMTCTCCGATTYGWTKAGCAATTYTGATWTGATCCTCAGCCAAAAGTTGTTTGTATTGCWATTTTACACAAYWTATTTWTKTCGGKWATTTTTTTWYYTTTTTTTTTTTTTTTTTTTTTKYTGGCGCTGGGGCTGCCCGGGATGTTGCCTGGGGGTCATGCCCGGCTGGGCACCCGGGCGTGTATCTGGGCACAAGTTGGGTGCCCAGACGCCCGARAAAATCACCTAGATTATTTTCAAATCTCATTTTTTATTTTAAATTTAGGGAAGAATTTCGATGTGACTCTGGGTACAACAAGACAAGATGCAACTCACCACTCTCTCTCATCCTTTTCCTCCTAGGGTTAAGTTAACAACAAAAAGCTAGTAAATATCAGAAAGATGGGTATCAGCATAGAAAGATGTATTGGTGTAGCAAATTGGCTAATACTAAAAGGTTGATGCAAAGTGTTCCACAGAGAGAGAGGTATCGATTACCTCTCATTTGAGAAGGATTAACCTCTTCGTCAATCTTTGGAGCAAGTTTTTTTTCATAAATCCGTTTTTTCTAAGTTATATTATGTGTACCATCGTGTTCAGGTTCGGTGACCGAGCCCGAATGTTCGGGACCGAACATGAACGAGCCCTGAAACTCTCCGAACGCAAAACATAAAAATATTTATAAAAAAAACAAACAGAGTTTCCAAAAAATCTGAAAACAATATATGTTATGTAAAATAATAATATAAACAACGTTTGCCTTGGAGGTATGCTCAAATTCGTAACCAAACTCGAGTTAAAAATAAAAAACCAAAAAAGAAAAGTTTTTTTTTTTTTTTTTTTTTTTAATATGTTCGGTCAAACACGTCCGGGTGGCGTTTGGCTGAACACCTGAACATGTTAAGACGTTCGGAAGAGCTCCGAACATGTTCCGTGTGCTACACATGTTATATATATATATATATTTATTCTCATATTAATATACCTAAACCTTTTTCGTTAAAAAATAAATAAAAATTGTTTAGTTTATTTTTATGCATAATATAGTTTTTTTTATAGATTTTTTTGATTTATTATTATTATTATTTTTTTTTTTTGTGTTGAGGCCTTCCCTTGTCCTCGCACGAACTTGCCACCCAGGCCCCAAGCGGCCAGGCTGGTAGCCTAGTAACCTATGTTTCTTTTAGAGGTTTTTTTTTTTTTTTTTTTTTTTTTTTTTTCAGGCTCCCGTTTGGCCCAAACGACCGAACGCATCCCAAAGGGGTTCCGTACGTTCGGGCGTTCGGGTTCGGGTGTTCGGCCTGTCCCGAACGCCGACCACCCTGTACGTATAATTGTTTTCGCTCCGCCGAGTAAGTGGTCCTGAACCCGAACATGGTAGTCAACTTGTACTTACGGAGGCCTCCGAGCGGACCTCCGTACGTTCGGGCATTCGGGGTCTCGTCTGGGGTTTGAATCTGAAGGGGTTCGACCCCCTTCAAAAATAATTTCTGCGCCTAAAACTTAATTTCTTTCTTTCAAATGTTTTTTTTTAGTTATTTGTAATATGAGGTACATCCCTATACATTTTTATGGCATCATGTTTAACGAAATAAAAATATAAAATCTCCAATGATGGCGATGTCAAAACATTCTCTCTCACTTACTACTTTGTTTTTTTTTCTGTTTTCCCTTTTTCTTTTAACTTTGTTTCAAGACCGGTAAATTTTATTGTTTTTTTATAGTTTCTTAATGAGTTTTGTACAATGTGAAGATACACATTTATAAAATTTGAGATCATTTGACTAAGCCAAAAAACAATTAAAATAAACCCAAAGATTTGAGTGTTTGAAATGTGTTTGCCCAGACACTAATTTTAATTCTCTCATCATGCTTTTTGTTTTTCTTCTTATTAAGTTATTATTTATTTTTATTTCGAATTCGATAAAAAAAAATGGATGTTATAATGAGACAAATGTTATTTAGTTGATTTTTCTATATAACATATATTTATTATTATATTTTCTTTTTTTCGCGTTTGGTCTAAACGTCCGAACGTGTTTAAAGGGTGACCATAATGTTCGGGCATTGGGGTTCTGTCATTCGTCTGAGGACGAACGTATGAAATCGAACGCCCGAATATTCGAGACCACTGTACACGCACTCGTCCGTTCGAGCCGAACGTGGAAAAAAATCATAATAGGGGTAACTTCAGTAGAGTCACAAAAACAAGTTATAATTGCAATATAGGGCAAGATAAGTTTGCAATTGCACTTCGGGCCCCCTACCTGGCCAAAAAGTTGGGTTGTATACATTGCCTGAATTGCGATTCGAAACTTTATATTAGCCCATAGTGCAATTATAACTTTTTTTTGTGACTCCTGTGTAGCTTTCTCATAATAATAATTGAAAATTCTATAACATCTAAAAAATATACATATTATCTAGGCTACCAGAGTAACCCAGGGTTACTTGCCCGATCAAAAAAATTGTATTTGATTTTGTATTGTAAATTTGGTAAAGAATTTCGATACAACCTTGAGGCAAAAGTTGTTCAGTTTATATTTTTGCATAATATAGTTTTCTTTTCGGATCTGTTTGGAGTTAACCTTCTCTAGTCCTTGCACGGGCTGGCCACTGAGCAAGGACCCCGAACGGGACCCCGAGTGCCCGTACGTACGAAGGTCGGCCCGGGGACCTCCGTACGTCCGGGTTGGTGATCCTGATGTTGTATACAGGGTCACCAGCCCGTACGTACGGAGGCCCCGGCTAGGCTATATTAGCATCGATTCTGTGTAGTATTGTGAGGACTAACGACCGGGTTTGCCGATGGTCTTCGGAGACCTACCGCAATGAAGGACGGGAGAGGGCTTGTTGGGGAGCTTGACTAGTGTGGGAAGGTGGTGGTAAACCCCTTGATGAGATGGCGGTGGCCATCGAAACGCGTCGGGGACGCAATCCTGTGTGAATTCTTTCTACCTTTTGAAGACTCATTCAATGATGCTGTATACTTTGCAAGTTTGAACGTCTCTGATGTTTGGCTTTGTAATACCATTACAACTGCATATTGCGCATGTTAACTTGCCTAAAATACAGTTCAACCGGGCGGAGTGAGCGTATATACACTTGTGTCTGTTACCTGCGACGTGTTACTGAGGAGGATTAGTGGCAGGTGGCCACATATTGAGTACTCGAGAAGTGAGCCATTGAGATATCTAATACAAATCAACATGATGGTGGTCATGTGGGCCGAGGTGGCCTGGACGACCAGAGGTGGTAAAAACCTTTTACATGTTTTTCATGCAACGAACCAAGGCACTACGCTAACCATTGTCCGAATCGAGTTTCGATGTCGTGCGCATGGGTCCGGCACCGCATAAAACGGGGCGGGATCCTCCCGACCACGTCACGCAGGAGTTGGTCTTAATCCTCGTCGTGAATACATAATGGAGCTTCCACAAGCCGCTCCGGCCGAGTGTGCCAGCCATACCTCTCACGAGCCCCTATGACAGGATAGGGCCTACGCTAGGCACGACTTACCTCCACCTTACGGGAGTTGTCACCTCCCTTCGGTGGGCGTATCCCCGCCGAGCTACCAGTCGACAGTACGAAAGCTAATATGCTGCGATCGTAGAGGTGGACCAGCCGAGGGCGTTTCTCGGTCGCTGTAGCATAGGGGGTACGTGCGGCTTCACGCCTCTATCGGACCCGCACGCGAACCAATGTCTTGGGGGGCTGAAGTCCCAAGCGAGACTCGTCATCGGTCGACTAGGACGCATCCCACGCACCATGCGTACACCACTTTAGGAACATAAAAGTTAAAACATGCATGCATACAGAACGAAACGACACAGGACAAACAACGCGACAACACTCCTAGTCCCTTAGTAGTCATCCAATAACTCTCCGATGCGGAAATCGGATAGGCGTCGCGCACGAGACTTAGTATAAAACTGCGAGGAGGCAGGGTCTTCTCATATCGATTAGCAATGCATAAATACGCGAGCAGTCGCAATGATGGCGTACTATGTAGTACCCATACTCATGAGGTCCTCGTTAATCTCGAGGGTCGCATTCGACACTCAAGTGTCAGCTAACACGCGCCTTGAGAGAATGATTTTTCGACGCTGGACAACCGCCAAGTGTGGTTGAGAACCACACCCTCTTCTGCACCCTGCGGAGAGTGGGTGGTACACAGGTTCATACCTGTGGTGACAATCGTCTCTGATCGCCCTAGAGACAAACTCTATCATCTAGGGTCTGGAAAGAAGTTAAGGGTTTTGAGTTTGACGGCTGCCACGGACTACAACGTCCAACTACAAAAATTAATAAGCGAAATCAATCAGTAAATAAGTAAACACCCAACACTCATATATAAAATCAGAACTCGAGATAAAATAAAAGAAGGGGAAACATAAGTCCATCGGGTATGCAGATCGTGCGACACATGGTTGTCATTCTCACCGCCTCCAAAGTATGACCCATATACCAAGCTCCAAAATACTGACGTGCGTAAAACATAGGCACACACAGTAGCCACATTGCCATACACCAATGTGGTCAACTTTACTGTTCCTTGTAAGTCACACCAGACCTCACAGACTCAAGCCCCAGTCATAGTTCAACTTTCCATAATCTCATAAGTTCTTTATAATGACCATTAAAAGGAGTCCGGTTAAAAACCCTCAAAGAAACATATCAAATCTCAGGGCTAAGACAACACACGAGGTAAAGGTGTTAGCAAAGTTGTGTCGTGTGCAGACGAGTTGGCGATCAACCAACCAACCTGTTATTAGTGATAACAGAAAATG